CGAATACTTACACAGCACCAGCAAAACTTTATTGTCCATATTTGCATAGAATTAGATGGAGAATCAAGGCTTGGAGAAGAACCTGAAAGTATAACAACTTGGTATTTCCCAAACATCTCACATTTATGAATTTGAGCCCTTTGAGAGTTTGCAGCTTGGACAGGCTGGAGGGAAACGAAACAGCTGCACACCACAGCTTCAGAGATCTGGCATAAAAGTGAATGGAGCTGTCTTCAATTACATCTGTCCACTTCTGCCAGGTGTGAAGGTGCATGGGAAGTTCCTTTGATCAGCAGTCAACTGCTGCTGAATACTCCACAGAGATTGATAAGCCTGTGTAACACTGGGTACATGTTCCAAGATCATAGATCAGTGTACTCTGTTGTCCCAGAGCATAAGTATGGGGATTCAATAAAGTTGAACTTGATTTTCTCCAGCCTCTCTGCAAATTTGTCCAACAAAAAAGTCCGAATCCAGTTATAGTTCCTGAGAGCATTGATACCCCTGCTTTCCCTCTCACCTTTCCCACTTGCCATGGTCCAGGCATTTCCTTTTGTGCTTTGTAAATACTTTGGGGCAGAGGGTTCATTTGTGTACATGAACATACATATACATGCTATCGTGTACCCAGGCTGTTGGATGCTTTCAGTATGTCATGAGGCATTAGCAAACTAGATAATCCCTACAGGCTTTTGCTATCCAACAAGGCAAGCCACAGTCCTATTCTTGAGAGACTTGCTTCTCAGAGGACTGGTCCTAAAATACAATCAGAGTTCCTCATTCCATTATCTTTTTGTCAGAGAAACTCTTCCAAAAGTTTACAGTCCCCCCTCTGCAAACCAATGTGTAAAGCTGTAGCGAGACCCACCAGTATTTGGATGAAGGGCATGCAGATAACTTTGCAAGTTCAAGCTGAAAGAGCCATGCACTTAAAGTCAAGTCAGTTCAGTGTTCAAAGGAGAAATGGAAAAAGTTATCTGTCACAATTGCATTCAGACCTATGTGCTTGCCACTGGTTGCTCAACAGCCCCGTGCACAGTCTAGCTACTGCCACTAAGCAAATACTGAAAACTTGTAGAGGCAAAGTTCAAGAAACTGTTTGAAAGCTTGTCCTTTGACAGCAGATGGCTGTAGTGCTTCAGCCACTGGATGATCTGCCTTGGAGTGAAGTATTCTTCATCTGGGTTTCCATACTATCAAAGTAATGAAATTTCTTAAGAACATGCAGATTTTGTTGAAAACCCAATAGGTCAGAATTTTTAATGCCACTGGCTGAAACACAGCATGTGTTTTTACTCAGGTGTGACATAGATCTGATCCAGTCTGTGTCCATGAGAGGCAATGGAGAGATTGCATGGGAGACTGGGGTTGCCTTGTATGTGAAACCACTGCTTGTGAAGACAGTAGCTCATGTTTTAACTAGAATGTTACAGGCATGCAAGGAAGGTGAAAAGATGGCACACACCTGTACTGGTCCTGCCCTGTATTAAGTAGTGCTTTGCTTTACTGTGATTTCAGCTGTTTGTCTTTAGTGGAAACATGGAGCTGAGTGAGTCAGAAGCTTTCCAGTGCAGAAATCTCCTGAGTTTTTAAAGACTGTGAATGTCTCTTTTGTATTTGTGTCCTGCAGCCAGACTCGGTTTGTTAGCTCAGTGACTGTCACAGAAGGCAGCCATTCTTGCTATCCATTTAGTTCCACATTTGCACATAACTGAAGAGGGTACTTTGAAAGGTAACAGATAAAGATGACATAGGATTTATACTATGGTATAACAAAGCTGTGGAACATGTTGCTGAAGGAGACAGGGCAAACAATGTTGTCCAACAAACTTCTGAAAAGTATGGAAATACAAGGAAAAGAGATAGGAAACAGGTGAGCAGCACAACTTGTAACACTTGGTTTTACAGGGCTTTCAATTGTGGCTTTTCTTTCTGATTCTGCAGCCACCACATACATGTTTCCCCTCCTTCAAGCCCTCAACTACTGTAGTTTGCCATGAACTGCATACGAAACTACGTGTACTGTGAGTGTGCAAGAGCCCAAAGTTACCCCCAACACCAACTGCCCAGCTAGCTGCTGCCTCCTAGCTCCCAGGCAAACCAAGCAAACTGTGCTCCCTCACAGCTGTGGGCAGACCAAATAGCTGCAGTCAACCCCTGGGCCATGTTCTGTGGAGACCTGTAGTAGGAACTTGTGGTGGAACTTCTTCAGCCCTTTGTCGGATGTGAGTAAAATTGGCCATGAGTCGGAAGTGAGGGGGAGGACTGGCAGCTGACAGCAATCACAGAAGCCCTTCCCCAGGCTAAGCATGACATGAGTAAGCATGAGTCAGAGCATAAATTGATGAGCCTAAAATTATCTACAAGATGAATACTGGCTAACTGGCCAACACATTATGGGCCTTCTGCTTACTCTGGAACTGGCAGATTCTGGCTCAGGGTGCAGATAGGCTGACTTGAATCCAGGCCAGTAGTAGCCTGACAGCTCCAACTGCCTTTTTTTTTTTTCCTTTTAATTTGTGCCTGTGGCTTTTGCCTCAAGATGGAGATTCAGCAGGAACCTTCCCTACAATGCAGCCTCTAGGCATTACTGATTTGGTGCTGAAGCTGGCATTTTCCTCTCCTGGCAGCTCCTCGCCCTCCAAGGGTATTGAATCCAAGCTGATGCTCCAGCCCCCTTCCCTCCCTTCTGGCATTGTTCCCAGGCTGTCATGTCAGATGCAAAATAAATACTCAGTGGCTCAGAGCTCCTTGCATCCAGGAGAAATTGCATTTTTACACTGGCTCTGAAGATCCTCTTCAGAGCCAAAGCGAAATTAATGCAGAAACTAATCCCTTTGCCCTTACCACGCACATCCTCTCCAGTGGTGGAGCCAAGAAAGACTGAAGAGAATTAACCTTTTCTGTAAATTTCTCTGAGATAGGAAATATTCTGCTTTCTGCTTTCTCTTCTTCCTCTTTCCCAGTTGCTGCATCAGGAAAACCAGTCTTCCCTGGATCAGGAAAGCACCTTCTTTCTCTTCCCACTACTGATGCTACAAGTTTATTTTAAGAAGAAATTTCATACCTATGCAGGATTGCTGTAGCTAGTCTTGGCTCTCTGTAGCTATTAGCTAGACCAAGTAGGTGACAGAGCTTGTTAGAGTAACTGCTGCCCACTCAGAAGCAGCCAAGAATAGCTGTAGCTTCAACTAGGTCTCAAGTATACAAGATAGGAGCTCCAGGGGTCCCTTCCTGTGACGCATATGGCATTACCATCATAGCCATGGGAATATGCTACTGTGTGAACCTAGAGGCAGACATATGGAAACAGTGATGAACTGACAAAAGAAAAAAGGTTATCAAGGTTTCTGGTCTCCAGCTTCCTTCTTTCAGGTGTCACAAACACCAGCGCAGCGCTGTGCACTGTTAACTGGTGAGGCTGAACCCATGGCAGTCCTTTGCTCAGCTTAGACAGCTTGCTCCAGCAGCACTGCCTCTTCCTGCTTCCTAGTAACTCATTAGCACATCCTCTTGCACAGGCTCCTGGAGTGTCCAGCTAGAGAAGGGAGGCACCGTGGTGGTACTGCGGAGCCTGCTATGGCTCGGACTGACCTTCTACCACGTCCCAATGACCAAGCAATATGGCTACATCTACTTTGGCAACGGTGAGAAGAACTTGGATCTGCCCTTCATGCTGTGACTCTCCTGTCCAGGGTGAGGATTCAAGAACATTTAGATTTTATACTTAGGATATTTTTGCTTAGTGCTTGTTCTAATAAATATGTGAAACCTCTGCACTTTAAGCAGGATTCTTCTGTGTTTGGACTCTGGCCCCGATTCTTTTTGTAGGACTTCACTGTGTGCAATCCTCCCTCAACTCCAGATTGAATTCCCTGTAATGTGTCATGCAGATCCTTTAGATAGTAACAAATGGCATTTTCTTCCCTGATGGGCAAAGCCTGAGGTCAGAAATCAAACCAAGGCCATCTGTCTGATTACAAAGACACCACGCTTACACAAAAACTAATTTGGAGACAACATGAATGAATACCAGCTGCCACCCATGAATGACAAACAGAAATAGAGTTTGAGTCAGCATGGAAAGCTGATGCATACTGTTCTAAACCCTGAACTGTAGAAAGGCATATTGAAGAGAGTATTTTGGTTTTTAGATGTTAGGTTTCACCAAAATTAGAGGGATCTTTCCAGCTCATGGCACTAAACTGTAGAAAAAACCCCCAAACTGTTTTTTTGCATCACCCGGTCTTTTTGGAAAAGGTGCTCATTCAGGTTCATCTCAAAGCATGATTTAATCCAGTGACTTTTCTATTTGTAAAGCTCACTCTGCAGAGCTATCTGGGCTAGAAGACACAGTAACTTCTGTATGTAGGAGAAAGAAAAATCTCTTCCTTTCTGAGGGGCTGTAGCTTCATAAAAGAGAGGTGGTCAGCCAGAGATTTTATCTTGTGATAATGAAGTGATGGCTCTGCCTCCCAAAGCAAAAAGATTTCGGTCAGCTCACAGGGCTGAATGTAGGGCTTGCATTTCACCAAGAAAGGCTAAAAAGAGCCTTTACGATCTAATTTGATTTCCTGGGTAATAAGGGTTTACCCTTACTTTTGTTCCTGTCCATGCCAACAGGTATTGGCAGATGATTCTGATGAAGGCAGTACAAGGTTAAGTGACACAGTAGTACATAAAAAAGCTGTGTTGATTTGTAGCCCCCAGGCAGTTATCAAAGAAAGGAGCCAAAGGCAATTGTGACCCTGATAAATTTAATGAGCCTTTCATACCAGGCCTGTAAGTAGCACTTTTCAAGCAGCAGTAGTCAGTAGGTGGATGGTGCATATATGTACTGTACAGGGAGAGAAATGGTGCCACTTCTTAGTTACAGGATGGAAAATGATGCACATTATCAGCCCCAAATGATCCCAGGAAGCAGCAGTACTGCTGACATGGAAGATTTAGGGCAAATAGAATGGGGGAGGGGGAAAAAACAAGCCAAGTCATCAAAGATGTCAACGTTCTGTATTTGCTATATCCAGGAGTGAAGCACAGACCAGGCACAAAAGCCCAAATGAGGCAAATCTGAGTTGAAATATAGGTTAATGGGGAATCATTGTTCACTGCTGGAAAAAGGAGGAAACATCCTTTTCCAAATCCAGCTGTGGACCATAATGAAACAAAAGCCTTCAGACCCTTTTTGGCTTTGAGGTAAGCACCTTTGCCCCCTCCTTTCTCCAAATCATTCTGCACATTACATTTGCTTTGCTGAATATTGTATTCTCCTAGAGGAGCAGACTGCAGCTCATTCACACTGCAGACAATACTAATAAGGTTTTGGAATAATAAAGTTGGAGGTACTGACAAACCTGCAAAAACAGCAGAACAGCGGAAAACAGCTGTGCTTACTGGCTATGCTGGTTCTGGCCACTAGTGGTTTAAACAGAGAAGCTTTTGTGTGTATTTGACATTATCTTTCAGCAAAGGGTGTCCGACTGGGAAGGGCTTTTTGCACCACTTGGGGCCCCTCCTCCAGATGGGCTTTGCAGACCTGACGGACCAGCGGGTCAGATACCTGTCGAAACAATACAAACACATTTCAGTTTGAGACTGATCACTGAGAAAAGGTTCTGACTGAAGCAGGAGCAGGCATTGTTGCCTCTGCCTCCCCACATGCCTCTTTATAAAAAGAATAACTGTGAGCAGAGCTCCATTCAGAAGGGACCACTGGAAAGGAATCTCTGTTTTGGAACTTCTAAGCTGGACCTCTGTATTGCACTCACCAGCACTCGCTTTACTTTCAGCCTCACAAAACAAATCAGGTGTAGTCTCCAGTCTGCTGGCAAGCCATCTACCTGTAGCTAAACTGGAGTGCCAAATCCCTTCATTGCAACAAAGTCCAAGCCTGCATGCATCCAGCCTCTATGGGAGGTGCTATTTCAACAGCTGGCCTCAATAAGGTAAACTAATTACAAAGGCTAAGCGCTGTGAGAAAAAAGGTCTCTAAAAAGGGATTAATTTTACTTTTGTTGGATAATCGGTTATTTCCCTGCATGTGATGGATTTCTGGCCTAGTCTTGTATTTCCGTATGTCTAAACTTGCTTCGGTATTTTCTGTACAATACTACTGCAGCCTGCTGGTGCAGGAAGCCAGAACCTACAGTGTAAGAGGTATGAGAACGGAATTATCATCACAACTACAAATCTCTGGGAAGAGCAACGTCTGGCAAATATCCTCTGCTTTTACCATTTGAAGTTTTAGACTTGGCTTTGCAAACAGGCGGGGGATTTCAGATCCAGAATCAGTTACTGGAAATCTTACCCTGTGGCTGGGTGGCCTGGAGTTTTGTTAAGCTTTAAATCTTTTGCTACCAGTAGAGAGGGGAATAGAGGTCCTTAGAGAAAGAGGAGTCTTTCAGACAATAAAGATCCAAAGTAAAACCCTAGCATAATCTGCACAAACAATGCTCCAACAAATTAGAATTTGGAACAGACTGATAAACTTTGTCCAGGGATGTTTGCATGCCTCTGTTGAGTAATCCCATGGTCTTAATGTAACCTCCATCAGTCATCCTCTCCCCAAACAGCTTTGTTACCTTTTATTTGCATTGCGCAAATGTGAGATATTAAGAACTTTGGACAGAGACCATGTAATGCATTTGTTTGAATGCATCTGGCACATTCCTGAGAACTACAGAGAAAGCTTGCTATGCCAGGCAGCTACAGACTATATAACAGCAGCCCATTCCCCTAGCACTTTCCTTCCCCAGCGATCCCAGACAACTCAGATTGAAAAATGAATCACGTTTGGAGGTTCCTGCCATAGAAATAAAGCCCCTTCTGAAATGCTTTCTTTTGCTTTTTGGAGTTTATGACAGTTAAAACATTTAGAAGCAACAGTGGAGAGGATCCAGTATGCAGCAAGGTCCAGCCACTTGTTCTCCTATGCATGCATTAGATTAGTCCCTTTTGACCTTTAATGTTATGCTAGTGCATTAGTGGAATCCCTTACATAACACCACCAGGACAGGAAGCAGGAGAGACTCTCCTGTCTCTGATTTCACATGCAAGGAGAGTTCAGAGAGACCAGACCCAGGTCCCAGCCTGGAATCTGGCAAAGAACCATGGCAAAGCTCCTCTGGGAGAAGCTGTAGGGGTATTAGATGGGCACATGGGGCCCTTGCTGCAGAGAGAGGTCCGTAGCGCAAGTTTTGGTATTGCAAAACTGAACTTAGAGCAAAGGAGGAAAAAAAACCCCAAATTGTTTTAATGTATCAATGTGCCAAGTGCAGTTCTGGTCACGTGTCCACACGCTTACGGGAAAGTGCTCCCATGATACTAAATGATCTCACTGGGAGAGAAGTGAATGTGTGAATGTCAGATACACATCAATGCTGTGTGCAGGTTTAGATAGACAGTGGCTTTTTAAGAAATCCCTCTGTTTCTGTGTGGGGGCTGGAAGTGCACACCCCAATTCTGCATAGGAAGGAGGATTTAGTAATGGCCTGATTTTAAAGCTTTTGTTATTTCTCTTTTGAGCAGGTCTAATCCAGCCCTCTGGTCCAGGCTTTTGGCTTCCTTTGGGGACTGCAGGCTGGGGCTTTTCATTGTTAGCTGAAACAGACATTTGGATGCTTTCCCTTCCTGAAACACATTTGCTTTTAGCGCTTTTAATACTTGCTTTGTCCCAGATTCAAACTTGTCCTATTTTGTTTGCTGCCTCTTTTTTCTTCCCTTTTTTCTGAATTTTCTTTTACCTTGATTCAGCAGTAGCAAAAGCCTCACGCCGGGGAGCAGTCAGTCTACAAAGTGCCTTTCCTCTTTGACTAACCCCAGTTCCTACTGTGCCACAGATTTATTTCATTTTTTTCCTGAGAGTAAAAACAATCCACAAAACTCGCATGTAAGAGCTTTGAAGCCCAGCACACAGGCCTTTTCTGCACACTCTGATGTACACGTAAGGTAGCGTACCCCTTTTTCTAGCCAAGCCACCCAACCTTCCATTGTATTCAACCACACTGTTTGTCCTGGGGAGTTTTTATAATCACCTAAAAACACACACTCACAGATGGTCTGAATTTGCTTAACCTGCTGAGGGTTGTGAGGACAGAGCCTCCATGTGGATGCCAAAGGCAGCTGGTCCACAGGCTCCTAACCTGTTATCTCAGTGTACAGAGCGCTCACCCTGGGCAAATAGGGACAGAACTGCCTGTCTAGGGGATCAGCAGCTCACCTCCAGGTTCTGCTTCTCCCATTGAGTACCATAGAATCCTGGGCAACAACCAGAATCCTAGACTCCAGCTGCACAAATGAGTAGTTTGGATAAAGCATGGGAATCCATGCTCTATCAGGGATCGGAATCCTGGTAGGATTTCCCTGATGGGAAAAGGCAAGATATAAGCAGGACAGAAACACCTGTGGTTAGTCACCTGCAGTCACTGCAATTGCCTATAATCTCTGTGGCATGTCCGAGTCCATTTATTCAGCAGGCAGGAGGGCCCCAAAGCCTTCCCACTCAGAGGCTGCCACTTAACCCCTAGTAGTAGGCATAGGGCTTCCACGTGCTTGGCAAGGGAAATGACCTACCCATGGGGTAACTGCAGTCCTGCACACAGCCCAAGCAAAGGCCGTGTTGGTGCAGTTCAAGGCTGAACTAATGAACCCTCACTGAACTTTCTCAATCTGGCTTTTGTTTGGATTCAGAGCAGAAGGCTGAGGGCTACAGACTGCAGGAAGCACTTGATCAAAGTGCTGGCAAGACTGCCTCCTCCTTGCCACATCTCTTCCCATGACACCTCTTGGCTTTGCTCACCTGCAGCCGCTCTGGCTCTTTGCTTTGAATTCACATGCTATGCACAGTTTCCATGCAGATGAGAGAAACCACATGTTGCTGGAGTGAAACACTGATAGCAGTGAAACCAGATTCTGCTCCTAGGGACGAGAGGTTTCCACAGAGCCCGAGAACTTTGTAATTCATGAGGAGTTCATACGGAACTGCCTCTCTCCTAACACATAGCAACTTCTTCAGTTTAGGTGATGGAGGAGGGATTGACTTGGATACTGTCCCTGCCAAGTTCTGTTCTTCCAGCAGGAAGCAGAAAATGCAGTGGCAACTGAGCACTCAAAATCAAGTACTCCATAATAAGTACTCCAGCACATCTTGCTGACAGAGCTCAGACTCAGGGAACCTGTAATATCCCTTAGCCCTTTTGGAAAGGGAACAACTGCTTTAATCAATATTTTGGACCTGCCAAAAGAAAGTGAGTGCTATTTTCACATTAAGAGAGCATCTAAATGATGAACTCATGCCTCATCTAAATGATGAACTCAGCGACTGTTCTGGATAGAGTGTGAGTCCACACTATCCATGCGACAGCTTCCATGCTGGGAAGAAAACTGCTGAGCTATTCAGGTTTCCGTTCCTGAAAGCAAGGATAGAAGTCTGACCTGCAGCTGTGCTTGACCGCTTCCCAAACAGTTCTGGTGGTGGCCTGCACACACACGACTCTGGAATACGAGAACAGTCTGTCACTGTGCACAGTGCTAGTGAAAATCCCTGACAACTTCCTCAGCCTCATGGGCTAGTGAAAATATTTTGTTGCTGAAGCACTTCACTGGAACGTGTCCGGCTGAAGCACAAATGGATGCAGAAATGACAGCAGGAGGTTATGAAAGGGAGAATTCAAGCTAAGGATGAGGGAACAATTCTTGGCTGCAAGACAAATTTGCTTGTGGAATCATCCTTTGGAAACAGTGAAAGACCCAGACTGGGCCAAACATGAGAAAATGAACGGTAGGAAGTAATTCTGCATTAACTGGGGGTAACTTCATTAGTTTTCCATGTCTAGTTCTGCAGACACATGATAAGAAGAGAGGTAGAGGACAGAAGACTCAAGAGTTTATGGATGACAGGGGTATTCCCATGGCCATATTTCTTCAAAAGCACCCATAGTAAAGCAGTTAAGTGGTAACACTCATGAGCTATCACTGTCAAAACCAAATCAGGCAGAAAGGAAAAAGTCAAAGCACTGAAGTCCAAGAAATAAGAAATACCATGGCAAGTCTCACCTGGACAGTGTCACAACTACAGGGGGTAGAAGAGAGCACTGCAGAGCACTCCCCAGTTGAATTCTGACTACAAGGTGTTTTCATATGTCTCCTGCCACCCACAGGACCATACAGCTTGGCTCAGACTAGCATTTCACTTTCATGTTACACCTTCTACAGTTCCCAATCTCATCCTCTATGTTAAAATTACATTGTGGATAGGCAATTCCATACTGTGCTAGACCAAGAACAAGATGGAATCTGCAGGCCACTACATCCCAAAGCATTTTGTTCTCCTTTTCCATTCTAGTGGTAGGAAGAGGATCAGGACATGGGGTGGGTAAGGGGAGCCAGCTGCCAAGTGACCCAGCGCTAAGCAAAGAAATTCTTACCTCTCTGCAGAGAAATCTGAGGCATGTAGAAGGGAATGCCCAAAGTTCATAAAATGGAGACAATAAAACCCCTTCAGAAAATAAAGCAGGGATTCTGCCTTCTGGAGAACATTGAATAAGCACCACAAGAGCACCTTCTGGAGGAGCAGAGCAGGCAGAGGCATTCGGATGATAAATCCACACTTCACGTCACTAGATCAACAGCAGGACAGCACTCCTGACCCTTGTTAAGACAGTCTGCTGATAGTTCCATATGGTGCCATGTTACGTTTTAATCTCAGCTAGGTGCTAGCTAGTGCATGCCAGACAATTTGTATTTGAAGCAGGCTCACTTTAAACAAGGTGACCATGACAGGGGCCAAACATTCTGGCCAAGACAGCCACCAAGTGCAGCCAAGGAAAAGCTGAGGAGAAGCTTTTCTGGTGTTCTTAAAAGCATACATTAACACAGCTCCTCAGCCCTTCTTTATGCACTTCCTTAGGATCCATAGGGTTCTTCTCATGCCGCTGACCTGTACAGTGTCTCACGGGGAAGAGCAGAGACAAAAAAGGTTTTCCATCTGAGTGATCTGTCCCTCTTCTGGCAAGAGAAGAAGCTGCTCTCAAAAATACTGACATAACCTTGGAAGAAGCCTGGCAAAAGGGAGCATCAGCCAGAACTTTGTGAGACTGGAGAGAAAAGCACATGCTGGAAAACAGAGGGATCATGCCCAATCAGCACAGGTTCATGAAGGGCAGGTCCTGCTTGACCAACCTGATCTTCTGTGATAAGGTGACCCGCCCCACTGATGAGGGACAGGCTGTGGACACTGTTTATCTGGACTTTAGTAAAGCGTTTGACATTGTCTCCCACTCTGTCCTTCTGGAGAAACTGTCTGATCATGGCCTAGATAGGTGGATTCTTCTCTGGGTTAAAGACAGGCTGGATGGCCGAGCCCAGAGTGGTGGTGAATGGTGTCACATCTGGTTGGTGGATGGTCACTAGTGGTGTCCCCCAGGGCTTGGTACTGGGGTCGGTGTTGTTTAACATCTTCACTGATGATCTGGATGAGCAGATTGAGGGCACCCTTGGTGAATGTGTGGATGACACCAAGTTGGGTGCGACTGTTGATCTGCTGAAGGGTAAGAAGGCTCTGCAGAGGATCTGGACAGGCTGTGGACAATGGTACACGGTTCAATAAGGCAAAGTGCCAGGTCCTGCACTTGGGCCACAACAACCCCATGCAATGCTATGTTTCTCCTGTCTTATGTGATGTCAGCTGCTATTCCACAGAACACTGTGGGAGATGCAGGTGGGGCTATGCACAAAACTCCCACTGAACTTCAGTGGCCAAGATTCTGCACAGCTTTCTGCTTGCAGCAGGCTGAGAAGATAGTATCATAGGGGACGAGGGGAGTACTCCTGAAGTATCCCTACACATTATCCTGGCTCTGGGACTCACTTGTTTTAGTTCCAGCCCCACCACAAAAACTTTCATTTCTTGATCCCATTCTCTTCTCTCCAGCCAGACCCCAAAGCTTCCTATTTCAATGCTGTTCTATCTCCTCAGCAACAGCTCTGCTCTTTTTTTAAACTCTGCTTCCACTTCGCTTGCTACATTCACTTGCTGGGAGGAGAAAACCAAGGGTGGGGTAGGGAAGTAGCAATATAATAGGGAGGTTGGATACTAATCTCCAAGTTAAATCTCTTTGATTTTGGAAGTGTAGCTCACCTACTTGCACATACAATGTATCCGGAGGTATCTGTTCTTTGTTCTCACTAAAAGTCTATGGAACAACTTAAAAGAGTCAGGGCACTATAGCTGGAGTCCTGGTGTGATTCCAGCGATAAAGGATTTACCATTTCCTGTCTCAACCTGCTAAGCAGGGTTGCTATGTGAATGCTAACTAGATAATGCACTCCACCCCACAGCTGCTAGACACAGCTGCTAAAGCATCACAAATTGTTGTAAGACACAGGGAAGAAGTTTTCAGAGCTAAAGTATCTGATGGCTACCGGGTTCCATCAAATGTAGATTCCTCTAATTTGATCCTCACTGATAGCTAGTACATAGCCTGACAGCATCCAAGGGCCTTTTCCAAGAGCTTGCCTTAAATCCCCACTGAAGAAATGAATGCAGACCTGAAATGCAGGAGTTTCCAGCCTTCCCCAGCCCTGCAGCCTAAGTTCTCCCAGCAACAGCCCCATATCCCCTGGTAACCCCACAGCTTGCTAATGCAAGGTTCATAAACTGCTCTGACATCCCCATGGAAACAGAGTGTGAGGTCATAAACAGGGGATTAGCACCTCGAAGTCCTGGTGCAGCACAGGAGGTGGACGCAGGCCTTCCCTTCACCCACCAAAGGCCAGGGGCCATTCAGGCTGGGGAGGGGGAAGAGACCCTGTTGCATAGCAAGGACAGGCAGAGGGTGAATTGCTGACTGGGGGGAACAGTAAGGGGCAGGGGAGAACAGGCTTGTGATAGTCCCTTGCTGGCTGCTCAGCCCCACACTAACTGCTGGTACCCCTCCTGGGCACTCCACTGCTGTTGGGAGCCAGGCACCAAAAGGCAAGAGAAAGGGACTGCTCAGCCTGGAGAAAAGATGACTCAGAGGGGTCTTAGCGATGTTTAGAAATACCTGAAGGGTGTAAAGACAACTGAGCCAGAATCTTCCCAGTGGTGTCCAGTGAGACAAGAGGCAACAGCATAAATTCATAGGTTAGGGCTGAAAGGGCCTTAAGATCATCTAGTTCCAACCCCCCTGCCATGGGCAGGGACACCTCACATTAAACCAAGTCACCCAAGGCTCTGACCAGCCTGGCCTTGAACACTGCCAGAGATGGAGCATTCACAATTTCCTTGAGCAACCCATTCCAGTGCCTCACCACCCACACAGTGAAGAATTTCTTCCTTCTAGCTAACCTGAACTTTCTCTGCTTCACTTTAAGCCCATCACCCCTTGTCCTATTGCTACAGTCCCTGATCAAGAGTCCTTCCCCAGCATCCTAATTCAAACACAATAAATTCTGCCTGAACGTAAGAAAACACTGTCTCAACATGAGGGTGGTTCTCTGGAAGCAGCTTCCCAGAGAACTGCAGAAGGTCCATCCTTGGAGATATTCAAAACCTGACTGGACATAGTCCTGGATAACCTGCTCTAGGTGACCCTGCTTGAGCAGGGAGCTTGGACCAGATGATCGCCAGAGGCCCCTTCCAACCTCAACTACTCCATGTGCTGTGACTGCCCTACTGAGTGTTAGCGATGTGGAGGTGAGAGCAACTGACGAAAGAAGGGCAGACTCTAACATGTGTGGCAGTTTTGATCCTGTGTGAATAAATGGTCTGAATGAGATGTGGTCTGTCCTTAAAAGACTGACAGAGTATGATGATAGGCCGACCTTCTCTGAAATGCTATGAGTACACTTATAGAGTCATAGAAGAGTTAGGGCTGGAAAGGACCTTAAGATCATCAAGTTCCAACCCCCCTGATATGGGCAGGGACACCTCACACTAAACCATGTCACCCAAGGCTCTGTCCAACCTGTCCTTGAACACCGCCAAGGATGCAGCATTCACAACTTCCCTGGGCAACTCATTCCAGTGCCTCACCACCCTTAAAGAACTTCCTCCTTATATCCAATCTAAACTTCCCCTGTTTAAGTTTGAACCCATTATCCCTTGTCCTGTCACTGCAGTCCCTAATGAAGAGACCCTCCCCCACCATCCTTATAGGCCCCCTAGAGATACTGGAAGGCTGCTATGAGGTCTCCACGCAGCCTTCTCTTCTAGAGGCTGAACAGCCCCAACTTTCTCAGCCTATCTTCATACGGGAGGTGCTCCAGTCCCCTGATCATCCTCGTGGCCCTCCTCTGGACTTGTTCCAACAGTTCCATGTCCTTTTTATGTTGAGGACACCAGAACTGTACACAATACTCCAAGTGAGGTCTCACAAGAGCAGAGTAAAGGGGCAGGATCACCTCCTTCGACTTGCTGGTCACGCTCCTTTTGATGCAGCCCAGGATACGGTTGGCTTTCTGGGCTGCAAGCACACACTGCTGGCTCATGTTCACTTTCTCATCGACCAACACCCCCAAGTCCTTCTCTGCAGGGCTGCTCTGAATCTCTTCTCTGCCCAACCTGTAGCTGTGTCTGGAATTGCTCCGACCCAGGTGTAGGACCTTGCACTTGGCATGGTTAAACTTCATGAGGTTTGCATCAGCCCACCTCACAAGCGTGTCAAGGTCCCTCTGGATGGCATTCCTTCCCTCTAGCGTATCAACAGAACCACACAGCTTGGTGTCATTGGCAACCTTGCTGAGGGTGCCCTCAATCCCACTGTCCATGTCAGCGACAAAGATGTTGAACAAGACCGGTCCCAACACTGATCCCTGAGGGACACCACTCATTACTGGTCTCCAGCCGGACATATGAGTCCTGTTGCCTGAGGCATCTTTTACCCTGTTATAAGGAACTGCTTTTCCTTTTCCAGTCAATGGAAAGACAAGACTATTCACCTGTTGAGTTTGGGTTTCTTGGGAATATGCCCTTCAGGAAGTGGAGGTCTGTGGTTTGGCAACAAACCTGAAACAGAAAAAGAAAGGCATGAGAATATTTTGCAGTTCCTTCTTGCCTCTAGAGAATCCAGAAGTTACATTACACCTCATAAGCCCAGTGACCCAGGTCCCTACTGGGACAGCACAACAAAAACTCAAGTACAGTAGAAAGGGTATTTTATCTTTAGTCACTGCTGAACCTGAAACCCCACCCAAAGAGAAGCTAGGATTTTTTGCTGCATATAGAGAGGAAATGCACACTAAAGACACAACCACTTGGGCTCACTAGATAGGCCTTTTGAGAAGACATAGGGCACTAGTGTCAAATCAGATTCCATCTCTAGGATGATAAACTGACCATTAAAATTCTCAGCCCATTTAACATGGATACAGCTCAGGTACCAGGCATAAAGATCAGCACTATACTCCTGTCTGTGTTAACCTGGGTCCTACTCCCAGGATGAAATAAAAAAGGCTTCACATGGCAGATGATAGGTGCTACCATGCTATTAACAGGGTATGTCAAGCTTACACTAAATCAAGTAATGTCAGATGCTGGTATCTAACCATTAGTTATTAGGAACTATGCCACTTGTCAGATGTTTCTGCAATGGCAAACCCATCTGCAGGGGGTAAGCGTTTGCTGCCATAGCAGGAGCCAAGACATATAGAAAGTGGAACAAGTAGCCTATGGTCCATCATCCTGTCTCAGCTCTTGGACCATAATGAGTCTGATGGGTGACTGGAGAATGACATCTCACTGAGCTACACTAACTGGACAGGAGACCCCTATCAAAGGCTTCTATGGGTACCCCATAATAAGGGGTTGTCTTAGGAGGAGGCTAGGTACCTGCACGGTGAGCCATCTTCACACAGACAGTAATCTTCTTGTGCTCCTCCAAACAAAGGCCTGTGATCCTTCGTGGCAACATCCCTCCATCAGAACGGATAAACTGACTCAGCAGCAAGACATCCTGAGGGACCAAGAGAAGGGCAAACCCATCAGTACTACTGCTATGTTAACTGCTGTGATTCTTAGGTATTGTGCTGACCCTCCCACTGTGTACACAACTCAAAACAAAGCAAAACAAAACAATGATTCCTTCCTACGCATTTTGGCTGCAGTCTGACACCAAGTGACTTCTGCTTTCTGTCACTCTGCCTGCCAGCTTAGCTCAATAAGGTCACTCAGATGGTCTGAGTCTTCACCAGTGTAAACACATGATGTCATTCGCAATGCTGCTACTTCATTGTCACTTGCTCCAAGATTCTAGCTAAGATAATGTTGTCCTAGGTACTCAGACACGGTTACACAAGTCCTACAGATGGACAGTGTTTACACAACTTGAAATGCCATCACAGCTGCTGTCCCAAAGGTCACAGATACGTTAGATCACCTCTGGCCCCCTCCTTGTCCCCTCAGAGCAGGATTGTTCTCTGCTATCTACTCTTCAAACTTTCATCCAGTTTCCCATGGTGGAACTTCCCTTATGTCTCTCTGGAGGGGTGGAGAGCAGGGAAATGGTCCAAGATCTTGCATGAAGAAGCTTTTTGTAAGAAGAGAACATGTGCTGATGAGAAAGACCTAACAGGATAAACTGCTGCCTTCAGTCCTTCAACTGTGCGTGCATTAGGTGGGGCTGTTACAGCCATGCTGGATGGAAGGAGCACTCAGCATGTGGAGCGTGTTTGTCTGTGACTTGAGGATCATTTAGATTAGACTGCTGTTGACCTTTCCAATTAAGAGCTCTAGAAACATAAATCACTCTTAATAAAAACAAAATTAAAGGAATCTCTACAGATACTATCACAGGGCTGGGATGACCACTTTTTAAACACAGCAGCAACAGCTGTTGGACAAGTGTCCCATTAACTGTACACAGCAGAACATCTCAGCATTTATATACATGCTCTCCACTTCCACACACAAGTGCAAATGTACCCCTCAAGCCAATGCAGGCAAGTCCCCTTGACATGCTGACATTAGCATAAATTGGTCCAACTAGCCTCTGGAGACTCTCTGCTTGCTTCTTCCCCATCTGTGGACAGATTTGTTGCTGGTTGGGAATTTACTTCTTCACTGCTGTTGTAAACATGTTGATAGTTGAGGTAGCTGGACGATGCGGAGGCTACGTGCCGGCTGGAAGGGACCTGCCAGGGAGCACCCTGACAGAAAGAGAACTCAAACTGGGTACATCAGCATTTTACACCTCCTCTGTCTAGGGCAACAGGCAAGAACAAGGAGTACTTACTGCTTTTCACATGGGGTTACCATGACTGCCTGCTGTTCAGAGAGTCACAGACCTGCTCCCACCCCCTTATCTTTGCTCTTTTACAAAGAGCTCCCCAGCCCATTCCTACCTCCATTTACTGCCCTTGCAAAAGCAAACAAACACAAGTGGATATAAAATGAATATTCAGAAAACCTAGCTATCTGGGAATTATACATCCACCTCCACTGCAAAAGAGCAGCTCAGCTTTGAAGAGAGCTGCTGGAAGTCAGTAGGGCTTTCTGGTAATGACCAGTTCCGACAGATGTTGTCATACAAGTGCTGCAGTCAAAATTTAGATGGTTTTCGTTTGTTTGTGGGTTTTGTGGTTTTTTTCTTTTTCCTCTTTGCCTTCAATCCCACCCTCACATCATGACAGACAACTTCCCTCTAGCCTTATCTGCCCTCTTTTCTACCTCCACTTGTGTACAATGTGTTCAGACTGATTTTCAGATCCAGCGCCTCCGAAAATACAGAAGGTTAGGCAACTTCTCACTGATAAAAAATGACTTATCAAACAACATACAGTGTGATGGTGTATCAAAAGAACAAGAAAAGCACAGCTGAGAAACTAGCAGCAAGCTTCTAAGAAGCCATCTATGGTTAAAATAGAAGCAAAGTGTCCTCAGCCCAGCTAACACATGGCCTTGCCAATGAGAACAGTAACCAGAGGACCAGCTGGTGCTGGCTGCACAGGTGGAAACCGGATGGAGGCCAGCCGAAACAGTCCAAGGGCACTGACTTGGACACTCCTGAAATGCAGTGGATTGGATTCAGGAAACCAGGGGAAGTCTCCATCCCCTTTTTCCCTCATCTTTAGCAATTCTCCAAATCACTAACAGCTCAATTTGCCATTTAGCAAAAACATTATCATTTCCTCAAGTGCAAATGGGCTGTTCAGTGCCAAGTGCCTAAAAAGTAAAACACTTCCTAGACTTTTCTACTAGACTGTTTCATTAGTCTGTGGGGAAGAAGAAAAAGGGAGCTGATGGCAAGTTTGAGACTGTTCCGGTTGCTGCAGTCATGAAAGCCTATGTTAGCCACAGGCTCCTGTGAAGGGTGTGTGTGGTCCAAGTGATTTCTCATATTACTACCACGCCTCATGGAGTCACAAGCTTGTTATCAAGTGTTTCCATGCAAATGCAGGAGGCAGGAAGCAAAGGGAGATAGTCTTTTTCACCCCTGTGGAAAAAATCAGGAAAATCCATTGTCTGCTACCATGCCTGACCAACAGTGTCACCACCAGATCAACACCCTTGCGTGGCTGTCATTTCTTAACTCAAATCACCCAGTCCAAGCCGCTGCAGCTCCAAATTACACTCACACTGTTTGGCTTTAAGTGCTGCACACTTGACAGAAGGTTGGTTCATTTCTGAAGATCCCTACAGCTAACAACAGGCCAGGTGCCGCTCCCAGAGTACTCACACAGATGCCTCTTACCACTGGGAGCAAGCAGACAGGTACAGCCAATTTTATGGGGCAGCTGTGGAGTGAAGCGAACAAGTATGTAGAGCGGTCAACAAAAAAAATATATCTGGCAGGTTCTCATGGTACCGTCATGTTCCATGAAGTTCACATTTTGTGCTCGTGGACAGCCAAGCCTATAACCACGGATTTGCTTTAATCACTGGACAGCTCCCACGAGGCTGGACCCAGATTCCCAGCCCTGTAATCTGCAGCATTTGATGAAAACAACTTGGATTGAATTAAACTAGGGCTAACAGGCAAAGCTTGCACTTTGGTTTCCCCTAATTGCTGCCAAAGCAAGATGACATATTTACTGCCTACTCAGACTAATGATGTTTGAAGTGGAAAAGGGGGAAAATTAAAAACAAGTTTAGCCTTTACCTCTAAAAGGTCTGGATAAACTTGCTAAATGAAACACTATGTACAGCAAGTTCTTGTGAGTAGATGGCAACCAAAATACAGAGGCATCTCTGAGTTTTAATATCTGCATGCGCTTTGAAACACAGGATCCTTGATTGATTACATGCAATTCATTAAAACCTTCATTTACCGCACAAAGAGTTCTGTCTGTGTAGCCAACTTATTACTGGGCTGTATCAGACGAGTCTGCCACTCATTATTTCCAGTTATACAAGAGTTTAGTTTTTCCTTTCTCCCTTACCCCTGGGAGCCATACACCATTCTCCAGGCATTTCATAACAGGACTGCAGGTTTCAACCCAGTTGCATCCTGACAAGGACCAAAATATTTTATTTTTTTAATCTCCAATGGATGTGAAAAAAAAAAAATACATCAACTGAGGTCTCAGTTTCAATGGTCAGACCCAAGCAGACCACAAACCATGGGCATTTATACCTTGGGCTCTGCTATACTGAGCCTCAGCAGAGACTAAGGGCTGAACTGGCATGGACAACTGCAGCCCCCCACGCCACAGCTGCAGGTTAGAATCATGATCTGCTAGGGCTCACAATGCCTGTTCAGTTGATTAATAACTTTGGAGACATTGGTCCCCCAGTTCTCTGACAGCCAAAGTAACTCATTATGCCATTACTTTAGACGGTGCTAGTTGCACATGACAAAAGGAAAGTCCTGTGAGGTCATATTACTCAGCTCCCTCAGGGGCTAATTCAACACTTCCCTTTTCATAGTGCCTCATTCAGTCCAATTACAAGCATCCCAAGCAAAAAAGCTCACACTTTCCCTTCTGTGCAATTGACTGATCTCAGCTTATCAATCTCAAAGGAACCACTGTGATCCACCTATTATGATCTCTTACCAAGCATAGATTATAGGTTATGCTGTATGAACTAAGCTCTACCTTTTAACAAAAATAGCTGTTCTCAATTTACAGACTTTCAGGACAATTAACCAGTGAGTAAATTGTGACACTGTTTAATTACCCACACAGTTAAATGCCTGTACTTTATTATTTAAGCATTTCAAGTTTCTGCTGCTCATCACTGCTGCAGCAAAGAAGAATAGACAGTACTTTTGTATTTTATTCACCTTAACATTTAAAAGCCTGAAAACCTGTCAAACATATAAGGGACTTACTCAAGCAGAAGAGGTAGTTCAGATACTGGAAGGCTGCTATGAGGTCTCCACACAGCCTTCTCTTCTCCAGGCTGAACAGCCCCAACTTTCTCAGCTGATCTTCATATGAGAGGTGCTCCAGTCCCCTGATCATTCTCGTGGCCCTCCTCTTGACTTGTTCCAACAGATCCTTGTCCTTTTTATGTTGAGGACACCAGAACTGTACACAATACTCCAAGTGAGGTCTCACGAGAGCAGAATAAAGGGGCAGGATCACCTCCTTCGAGATTTAATCTGCTCCTATAGCTTATTTCATCCCTGAGCATCAGTTTGTAATTTCTCTGGACTTGTTAACATGTGACTTACGGAATGCTCTCTGGAAGTCTGTAGAACTACCTCATTTAATGAAACTGTTGACCCCTTGCATTTAGAAGTCGCATAAAAATGTATTAACCGTAAATATTTTCCAGTGTGATTGGTCTGTTTTGATCACAACACAGTTCAGCAACCACAAAGGAGGAAAGAGCTGCAAGAAACTGCTACATTCACACACAAGCAAAATAAAACAAATGTGATCTGTTCCTGTCGCACTTTCCATACCTTAATGGTATATGCTATTTTTCCTGATTTTGTATCATTTGCAAATTGCTGTAATTTTAGCTTTCCCAGACTGTTGAGAAACTAGACCAGAGAACACTAAATACTCCACTGTTCCCAGTCTATTTCACCATTTAATATTGCATCCAGCCCGAGTCAACCACTGACAGCCCTCAGATCCTGAACAACTTTATTTCGGCAACACAGGCTTTGAAAGATAGTAAACTAGTATTTCATTTACATCTCCCATCTGTTGTTTCACCTTCCTGGAGTAACTGCAAGTATTTTATCTGGCATCATGGCTGTACTCACATTCTTCATAATTCATGAGTCATAATTAGCCCCATGCAACAGGTTCTTTTTAGTCCTAGTTGACACCATTTTACTTGGAATTCGCAATGTCTGAGTTACCAAATGGCAGTCATCAGCATCATTCTCCTTCCTCTCTCAGCTACTTAGGATTTCACTTGCTATTGTAAAACCATTTAGTGATTCTTTAGGTTTAGTTTTTTTTTTGTCAGGCTTTTAAACAAAAAACCAAAATCCTGCAAGTGAAATAATGTGTTTTTTAGCTGATTACCTTTAAAATCTTGGGCTATATACAACTCAGGCCTGCTGGTCAGTACCTAATTCAATACTTAAGTTATTTATGTATCTTTTTTTCCTGTTGGTTTACATTTGCAAGATTGCTATTCCTACCTAGATATTAAAACATCATTTTTCTTTTGTGTATGTCCTAGGACTGCATGTGAGCAGCTCAGTCATTCTGCAGCCAATGTGGCTTTCAGTCCCCTCTACTCTCGTTAATGGACTTTCTCACAAAGATTTCTTTTCCTTCAAGTGCACTTATATCTCTCTTGCCCTAATCCTATTGATGTTAAGTTATTTTGAGTTTTCTGTTGCCTTATCTTACTAACAGCATGTTCCTTTCTGCTTTTCTTCTTTTCTAATTCCAGTACTGGGTTTTTAGCTTGCCAGGAGGGCACTCAGTCCTTTTGTAAACTGTGTTTGAATGACTTCTTGTAAAGTTACATTCTGTATCTTGTATCTCATGCTTACTTTAAAGTGTCTTGACTATTATGCTTTTCTTTTAAAGCATTAGAGGATTTCACTCCCATCTTCTGCATTTAGTTTAGTAATCCTCTCATTAGTTAATAAACTTCTCATTAGCATTTCCTGCAAAAAGCTTGACTCAAACCTATTTCTGATGTTGCAAGGGATGTAAACCCATACGCTCTCCTTCATATCCATCAAGAGTTTAAAAGTTATATAAACCAGTTGTTAAAAGACGGTGACTCAGTGAGAAATGGTAGTGCTTGAAGATATATAACTGATCTACTCAAGTCTTTTGGCCTCTCCGGAGTTGGAACAGGCCTTTTATCAGTTGACTGTATGTTGCATTCCAGTTTGATTCTCCTGGAAGCGCAATGCTGAAAGGCAGCAGCTGGGCACAAAAGAGATATATGACCTTCTCAGATCAGATGGCCGTGTGTATAATTCCAAACCTTCTATTTGATATGAGCTCATCCTTCTTTTTCCCGGGAATACCATCAGCCAAGGCAAACAGTTAGTGTTCAGGAAGCTTTTGTTAAGTCAAAAAGCAGCAGAGATAGAGCACAGAGCAAAAGAGAGATGAGAACAGGGGAACTCTCTTTCATTAAACTTACCACGTAATTGTACTTATGCTTCAGGTTCCAGCGACAGATGGGACACTGGCCAGTGGGATTTGGAGGAGTTGGTGCTGCAGCATCTTTATCCTCTATAATCCTCCCTTCGATCTAGGAAACAATTCAGAGGATGAAATGATCAGGCATCGTTTAGACCTCTACCAGCACCTGTGACAAGAGGAATATTTTTCATCAAGTGCACAACATGTTGACCACTCTTGTGTATATATAAGGGGAAGAGTATCTGCATTATTCAACTTGCTTACCTGTAGACATACCAAGCACTTTGCATATACGCAGGCTATGGGGAGAAGAACAAATCCAAGGGGCACAGAGAACCATTTTGTAATTTTACGTATATGATTTACTAAATGTAAACTAGTTCACAGTCAGTGTGAAGTTCCCATATCTCCCTGAATTCCACTTATTGCAGTACTCCTATGAAGCACCATGCCTTTTAGCAGCCTTTTAGCCAAAAGCTTTAAACCAGATTTTTTTCTGGGAATACAAGAATGTCACAGAATAGCAGATGGCCACTGCAGGTGATGAAAACACACAGGGGCTTGCTAAATTGTAAGTCACCAACAGGAAAAATTCTTGACAAAAGTTAAATTTAAGAAATGACTTAGGAAATGTCTGTGGATGTTTACTTTTTTTTTTTTTTAATCCAGTTTAATTCTCTGAACAATTCCTTTTGTCATCAAAGATCATTTTGTCATCTTTTCTGTATCACTACGAAGTGGTGACACCCAACACTCAACGTTTTCTCCAAAGTAACACACAGAGATGTAGAAGGTGTGTGGGGGAAGGACTTGAGAAATATGTTTTCTAAATGTAGATGTTAGGAATATGAAGCCTATCTACACGTGCACTTGTCTTTTTTTGAGGGCTTATGAATAGAAGCAAGAGCTATCTCAAACTGCAGATGAATGAGACAGAAAAGACAATAAAACTAAGCCACTTCTTTTTCCTCCAAAATATTCTGGAACCTTCCTCTGGTCAAGGCAAGATTAGAACCAGATTTTGAACACCAAATGATACTCTCAAACAGTGCAAGCACCAGAGGGTTTAAAAACAAACCCTGGGTGGAATGCAATGTTACTTTAAAGAAAAAAGCTGGCTGATTTAGACTGAGCCATCAGTTTCTGTGCCTGAAAACCTGGGAAGAAAAAAGCATGATGTTTTCTGTAACTGTGCATGGGAAACTGGCATCCAGCTGAACCGTCAGAATTATTTTTAAACCATGGTTTTCTGTCTTTCTTGTCTAGTGGTGGCAAAATGGCAACAGATAAGTTGTATGTAGTTCAAGCATTCTGCTACCTCAAAGAGAAAAAATACTGTCAATTTTTAAGTAAGACTCCTCCCCCCACAAGTAGAACAGCCAGTTTTCACAAAACCAAAAAACTTACTATGAATATAAAACATAGGCCAGTGTCTAATTTTCTATTAATTAGTAAAGCCAGTTTTCTGGGAAGCCAGTGTATCCGGTCTTGATTCTTGCCAGTCTGCCTGCAGACTTTAATTTAACTGTAATTCCATCTTGGAAATGGATAAAGATTCAGAAGACAATGTCAATATCATTTCTTCCTGAGATAAATTTCAATGTACAGTTCTTTGGCAATTATTCCCCAGCTACTGAGGATTTTCATATTGTTAACCTACCCAGATTTTATTCTTCTGTGAGAGAACTGAGAGGGAATACAGGGACTCTACATTCTCAGTATGCTGATAAAATACAGATTTCTCTGAAATTCACTCATCTGGTTCATGTCAAACACTTCCTTCAATACTAATAAAAGCAAGGACACATACAAAGATGAACATAGAAAGATGGATTCAGAAAGACTGATGTAGAGTTGGTAGGATAAATGGAGTGAACAGAGGACATGCCAAGAAGAGTATCAGCCCTTTGGTTGCTCAATTTGCACTATTTGTTATGAGATGTTCCTCATGTATGGGTACTGATGGATCCTAGATTGATGCTAGGATATTACACAGTAGAAAGTGTCCCTTATGCTTCTACAATGAGCCGGGGAGAATGATTTTTCTAAAGGGCTCTGCTATTGCAATGCATACTTTTTTTACTTCAAGCCTCAGTTAATGTATTGGCACTTTGTGATTATAATATGCATTCCCCCTGAAGCTGAGGGCAAAGTACAGCAATCTACTGTATAGGTTGTACTGGTGTGTGCACTCCCCCCCTTGTTTTTGTTAAAACGACTTCAGTGCATGACTGTGAGCACTTCTCTTCAGGTCTCTGGGCAAAGATTAGTAATCTGGCACTTGAAGAGAAAAAAAAAAAAAGAGACTTTTCACTACACCAGCTCACACCTTCACCTTATTTTTGTTGACAGTCTTTGAGATCTTGCTAAATACCACATTCTATTAGACATTATATAACTAAAATACAAGCAGCATGCTCCATTTAGGTTTCCAATATGACAACGTCCACTAACAAATGTAACAAGGAAACTCAAGACCTTCAGAGGCATGATCTATCAGGTTTTGCCTGTTTCATTAGTAAGCAAAAATGTCTGTCCCGTCCTTAGTGTTATGTATATACAGATTAGCATTTAGGTGCATTGTCTTCTAGCTATTCCCAAATAATTCCTGCTCTGCTCTTGTATTTACACATTTCAAAGTACCTGTGCTGCCTGTCTCCAGCTAAGGCACAGACTGCTACTAACATATATAATGTGAGCAGAATAATGCACTCTCCACTCCTACACCCTCCGCCAAATTTCAGTACTTCTTATAAAAAATGAAAATTCACTTGATGAACACCATCTGATCTGCTGCAGCTTGTTAAGTAAAATTCTAATTCTATTGGTTGGTCTTTTCCTTCTCACCTTAAACCGTAGCCGAGAAAATATTCTTTTTTATCAGTTACTACAGAATTTATGTTTTATTTTCAGGAGCAGTTTTCCTTTAGTATTTAAGGCATTCCTTTGACAACACCCCTTTCAGTGAAAATTTTTCCTCACCAAACCAAGTGCGCTACAAGATGCAAACTCTGTATCACTTACAGTCACTATGGCATACTCAGTGGTACAAACACAACACAGAGCAAAGGCAAGCTGTGTGGGGCATGAAGCTGGTAGAGAGACATCGTATGACACCACAGTGTTCCTGGCACGGGGTGAAGTGACAAAGCCACAAGACAAACCTCCTTCATGCCTCCTTGCACTCAAAGTGATGCCAAGCGCCACCTTTAAAAAATGAACTCTTCTCAAAAGTTCATTTGAAGCAAGCATCTGAAGAAATGTCTCTTGCATTTTGGGTCCTGAATGCCTCTTTTCAGGGCTTCCAACTTTCCCAGAGTACAGGGAGGGGTTTAGCACTATGGGTGACTCTAACTGGATGTACCCATCACCAGCAACAGGGTGACAACCCTAACCTTTGACTGCCAAGCCCTCCATTGCTCACCTGCATTTGCAATGCACTCCTACTTTGGTTTTCCTTTCACACCCTGTGATAGAACCATAGCATGATCTGGGTTGGAAGGGACCTCCAAAGGACATTTAGTCCACTCCCCTGCAATAAGCAGGGACATCTTCAAATAGATCAGGTTGCCCTGATGTCTTTCAAGCACAAAAGCGACCTTTTTATCCTCTTATTCTTTTGGGCACTGCAGTGAGGCCTTGGTGGACACAGACACGCACAACAGGAGGCTGAAGGACAGAGAAGGGACAGCAAGGGCAACTACTGACGAAAAGGGGTGCAGGGACTTACTGTGGTCGTATTGCCTTCAGTCACCTCCACGACTGCGAAAAAAGAAAGAGACGGGAGGGCAAAATGAGACTCATTTAGACTAACAGGACCAGTATTATGGGGGGGGCGGGGAAGAGGGTGAAATACAGCGTACACAGCCGTTTCTCGCGGCCGCGGTGAGACAGCGGAGAGCGGACCGGGGCAGAGCCAACCCCCAGACTCACCCTCCCGGAGGGTTCGGGCCGGCGGCGACGTCCAACCGCTGCCAAACAGCCCGGTGAACAACCGCCGCAACCCCCCACGCAGCAGGCTAGGCGCCGCCATCTTGCTGTCGCTGTCGCCTGCCGTCACTCCGCTTCCGCCGGAGGGAAGGCGGGCTCTGCCGGCGCCATTTTGATACGCGTTCTTCTCCGCCCACGACACCTGAGGGGAGGGAGAGCTCGGAGTCTGTTGTTCTTTACCCAGCATTTTTCCCCTGTATAGTTTACCTGCTCCTCAGTACAGAAAGACAAGGAATAAATAGAGAAGGTTCAGTGGAGGGCCACAAAGACGATCAGGGGCTTGGAGCATCTTTCCCAGTGAGGAGAGATTGTGTGAGCTGGCCCTGTTTAGTCTAAAGAAGGCAAGACTGAGAGGGGATCTCATTAATGCATATAAATTATTATAAATATAAAATTAATGCATATTTCAAAGGTGGGTGCCAGGAGGATGGTGCCAGACTCAGTGGTGCTCAGTGACAAAATAAGGAGCAATGGCCATAAGCTAAAACACAAGAAGTTTCACCTCAATGTGAGGAAGGGTGGCAGAGCACTGGAACAGGCTGCCCAGAGGGGTTGTGGAGTCTCCCTCTCGGGAGATACTTAAAGCCCGTGTGGACACTTTGTTGTGTAACCTGCTCTAGGTGGCCCTGCCTGGGCAGGGGGTTGGACAAGATGATTTCCAGAGGCCCCTTCCAACCCTAATGATTCTGTGATTCTGATTCCTTTTGAGCTTGGTTTGGTTTGGCATGGAGGTGAATCTAGAGGTAGCGCTTGCTGTGTGTTACGGAGTTGTTACGGAGGCCAGAGCTACACTCCTGCCATAGCTCCTGAGTCTCCAGTGAGAGGAAGGGCAAGGGGTGGTTTAAAGTGTTGTGGAGTGGCTTCTCTGTTTGGATCGACTCGGAAGTGACTCCTGTACCAGGGGTGGAGGTTGGTGTTCAGGTCAGCTGTGGGGTGCAGGGAAGGGAATTGTTTCAAATCTGTATCTGCTAGGGATGCAGAGGTCAGACCATGTTCCTGCACTGGCTTTTGTAATTTGGCAGGTAAAGGTTTGAAGCATCATGTTACCAGGCTGTAAACTTATTCCGGTAACCAGGTGGTCCAGTTTAGGTATTCTCCATTTTTGCTTTAATATCACTTGCCTTTGGTGGGTCTTGCATGGCTTGTCTGCTGCTGAGAGGTAACTTGTACTATCATCCTTCTTCTTATGCCTCATCTTTTAGCTTCTTCCATAAGGCTTTGATGGAAGATAGATCAGAGGTGCCCGTTGGGAGTGTGTGTCAGATAGCTGGGACTTATACCAACAGACTGTTTGTTTTAGATGGTAATCCTGTATCTTCATGAAGCACGTTCTTAAGGTTGAGTTGGACTGTAGTCAATAGCAAAGGTCATTTGTGAGGTTTCCCCAAAGCTTCTTTGCTTTTTCTTTGTAATTTCAACTCTTCATAAAAGTCCTGGAGGCAAACCTAACAGAGATGAAGTCCCGTGGAAGTCATGTGCATTGATGCACGTTCATGCCATTCTGTTTCAACAGTGGTCAACAGTGCTCACCTGAGATGTTCTGTACATTCTTCTCAGCAGCTAAAACATGTAAAATAGAAATCGTGACATAAATGTGAAATTTCATGTAAAATAAGATGTGATCTTCCTGTTTCAGGAGGTCTTCCACCTCCTTCTTGTGTGGTACACTAGCTTCTTGTTACAGTCCAGTCTGCTAACCTCTTTCTGTGGCACATCTAAGCCCCTAGCTCCAGGACTTTTTGAAGAAGTGGGAATGAAAGCAGGGCTTCTGTCCAGACTCTTGTGCTCTATGCCTAGCAATGGAAATGGGGCCATCCCAGTTAGAGAACAAATGGCAGTAGGAGAGCTTGCCGGAAGAGATCTTTCGCCACATTATGCTATATGATTTCTAGAAGCAGGGTGATTTTTAGCTTGTCCAAAAGCTTAAACATAAGAGCCAAACAAAATATTTACTGCCGTCCAGTCCAGGGATAACTTCCTTATGAGGAGAAGGAACACTCTTAGGCTCAGTGGTGTAGTGATGTCATGTTTTTATGAGTTGCTGCTTTACTTTTTTTTATTTTTATTATTTTATAGAGTTTTATTCTAGTGGAAGGAGTTTAGCTGCAACAGCCTAACGGGAGTTATTCAATGGCTTAAATTAAATGCAATTTCTTATATTGGCTTCCTTGCATCCTGTGATAGGGAAAACTAAAGGGGTGACTCTTTCCATGGGATAGAGACCAACCATTGGTAAGCATAGTGCTGGCTGACCATGCTAAAAGATAGGTAGAGAGAGGAGCAAGGGCTGTTCAAGAGTTTCTCTGTGTCACAGGACTTCTGATGCAGATACGTAAGCAGCAGTATATTTGGTTGGACAGAAAGGGGCTAGCAGCACAGTGATAGTTCAGATAGAGTAAGTACTCCAATTGCTCACCTCACCTTCAAAGAAATGCTGTCTCTAATGGAATTTCAGTGACACATAAATTAATGCAAAGAAGGAAAACACTTGCTTTCTTAAAAACCAGAAGTCTGGTTTGAGCAAATTGCCTGTACTCCTGAGATGATTTCTTTGTCTCCTGAGTATTTTCTACAACTGTTAGTAATGCAGAACATTGAGTCCCAAGGAGACAAACAAAGCATGTGCCAATTTGAGTTGAAACCCATCATCACTTTCCAAGTTTGGGAATTTGACATATTTCTGATTTCTTGCAGAGTTTTTGAATGTGTTTATTTCAGCAAGACCTTGTATTCAGGGCAAAAGAAAAGTAGCCCTGAATGCTATGTCCCTGCACAAGAGAGAAAATAAAGTGATTTTCTTTCTGTAAGTCAGCTCAGCCATGGTCTGTGATTTGTCAGCACTGCGGAGGGTCATCCAGTTTAGTTAGAACTGAATGTTTCCAAGGGATGTTGCTGGCCATTGAAGAATGACTCCTTTTCTTTTTGGATTAAAACTAAACCTGTGCTCACACGTAGGTGTGGTCAAGAGCAAGGAAATACCCCATTTTAGATGAGAAACGTATGTCCTAGCTGCTTATGGTCTCTGGAGATTTTATGGAACTGTTCTCAAAGAAATGGTATTCCCTTGTTTGAGATGCTTTGGGATTTGACATTGTAGATATTCTGTAAGGCTTCATTTTTCTTTTCACACTAATGTGTGTCCTGGTCTTATCTGATAAAACAGAATATGTTTTGCTGTCTTTCTGATTTCCTATAACATATTGCTATTTTCTGCTTCCAACTACAAAGAAACTTTTGTGGTCCTTTGGGCCTTTTCTGGTCCATTGAGTGCTAGTGGATGATGTGTATATCTGCTCCAGAGCCTTACCCATGCAAATAGCTTATGAAGGCTGAGGCCGTTCCAACAAAACATGATTAAAAGTTATAGAAATGGAGATGGAAAAAGCTATTAGGTCACATAGTTCCCACATGCACCCCCCGGACCAGTACAGGTTTGTTCCAATGGTACATTTTTGGTGCTTTCCAGAAGGGGTCAGTGCAGGTCAGCGTTCACTTTGCATCCAACAGTTTGCCTCCCTTCCCCCTTCTTGCAACATTAGGAAAACCTGAATCTGGTGACGAGTAGGTTGCAAAATGGCTAAAATGTATATTATAGCTTTTAATATGATGTTGGGTGACCAAAAGCAGAAGAAATGTCTTCAAGTCAAACAACTGATCGTCCGAGATTTAAGTTAGTGAGCTCTTCAACTTGTTAGCTATGCATATTAAATGCTGCAGATCTTGAGAACTGCTCTGGGGAGGCCCAGTTGTAGCAAAAAAGACACCAATTCACAGCTTTGTCTAGTCCATATTTAGAGCTTATCACAGTAATACTTTTTAGTTACATTAAAAAAATGTCTGGAGAATTCAAATGAAATTTCTGATCGTAAATATAAAAGTGTCAACACTCCTCTTAAGTCTGAAGAAGGGAAGAGGGTAACAATCACATTGCACCGAAAATGCAGTTCATCCTACTCAAGCACTGCAGTACAGCAACCTTTCTGAAGATTGTTCCAGTGTCATGAGTCTGTTTTGGCACGGGGGCTCCTGCAGGGATCATTTCACATATGTGAGTCAGGTGTCCTGGTGGAGAGCGGCCACAGCAAGAAGGGCCCACTCCACACGCCAGCATCTTAAGGTTCTGAAACAGACTTCAGAACATGGAGGAGAATAACGCTGGGACAGAACTTAATAATTTGAAGCAGGGATGGGAATGAAAAGGTGGCTGGAGGTGGTAGGAAGGAAATGCTGCAGAAAGAGCAGGGAGAGATGGCAGTCTGGTAGAAGAATGAGCGACTCACTTGAAAATAACTTGTTTATATTTTTAAGGTTTTATTATTTTCCCAGTGGGTATGGTTATTTTTCAAAGTAAAATAACCAAGTAATAATTTCATTGCATTTCTTTCCAAGATTTCAAGCTAAGTGTAAACAGGAAAAATCCTTTGGGAAAATTAATCCAACTTCCTTTTTTGAGAGCACTTCAGTTCTGTTTCTGTCCCGCCCCTCTCCTTATATATTTTCACTGCTACTGTTCTTATACCCAGTATATGTGGCATTGCTGACACCAGCTGCAGTACCTCGGTGATGGCATTTGTTAGAGGGAGAAACCTTTAGGATCACTGAAAATCACTTCTGATACAAAAACGATAAGTTCTGAGATTTTCAGTGTTTAAAAAATATTAATGACTTTTGACATTTTGGGAATGTTCCATATGGGCACGTCAAAATGATGGAAAACAACTGAACCACTTGTGCTGAGATTTGATCTCTGACAGTTAATAGGTCTGCATGAGAGAATTGTCAGGAACAAAAACTCTGTAACAACACCATGGCAATCAAACCGGCAAACTTCCAAAGCTTTAATTTTTCCAGATGTTAAGTGCCTTTTTTTCCTAACGCAGGTGAAGGAGGGACTTCAGAAAAACAGACAATGAAAAACATTGAATTTGTAAGGGGTCATTGCCATAAAGACCACCACATTGTTGCATGTTCAGATACCAGTGCACTGAAACACAAGCAGTGTTAGTCTGCATTAAATGATGTCAGAGGGTTTACTTGGGACATAAAATTAAGATGTTTTATAAGTTTTGAAATACATTTGTTTATTTTGTATTAAAAATGTTGTGTCTTCAGGCTGTGTTACAGTGAATGCTGAGTTTGCTTTCAACAACAGA